GGGAGAAGAGGGCCCACGTACCGCGGGAAGAGGGGCAGCAGCTCGGCCGGGGCCCCGGTGGCGGGGAAGCCGGCCAGATGAGCTAGCGCCCGGAAGAGGAAGGACATGTCGACCGCGCGCTGGCAAAAGCGCGCCACCCGGTCCGGGGAGGTGAAGTCCCCGGCTGCGCGGGCCACCATGCCGACAAACAGCAACCGCACCAGCAGGTGCAAGTCCAACGCCTCGCACAGGGCCCGGAAGATGGCCTCGCGATCGGCCGGCGAGAGGATCAGGAACAGGGGCGCCGCGCCGAGGGCCGCGCACATCCGCTGCACAGGACCCAGCTGCGGGGCCGGGCGAACCTCGTCCAGGTCCATGGGAAGGGTGTCGGCGCTGGCGCTGCTCGGTGGCACCGTGGCCAGGGGACACACGTGGAAGGGGGGTCAGGTTCGCGGCTCGGATCGGGCGCCTGTGACGGGGGGGGGGGGGGGGGGACGAGCAGCATGGAGGCAGGACGCACGCTTGGGTATACTCCGATAGCGAGGCCACCAGCAGGGTGGCCACGGCCCCGGCGAGGGTGGCCAGTGTGCCCAAGTGGATGTGCTGCAGGCGGTCCTGCAGCGAGGACAGCAGGAGCCCACACGGGGGGGCCGTCCCGCCGGGATCGGCGACAAGGAGCCGGCGGTAGAACTGCAACGGCCGGGCACCGGTCAGAGGACAGCCTCAAGGGGGAGGTGGGGAGGTGGGGAGGTGAGGAGGGGGGAGGCCGGGAGGCCGGCCCAGGCGCGTACATTATCGAGGCGCAGCTGGCTGAGCATGGCCGCCAGGTGGCCAGCCGTGTTGGCCAGCAACACAAGCCCAGCGAGCAGATCCACGGGGGGCGGGCGCTCGACCGCGCCGCGCGGCAGCTGGCCAAAGAGCCGCCCGGCCAGGCGAGTCTGCTCGGCGTCGAGGGCCTCGATGAAGCGGACACACGCCTGGAGCTGGGTGCATGGGGGAGGAGGTGGGAGTGGAGGGGGTCAGTGAGCACATCGGCGCTGGGGCCGGCAAGGGGCGGCAACGGCGCGACGCGTACCTGCACGCGGTGGAAGTAATCCCGCCGCACGTGCTCCTGCGGCACTTCCTCATACCGCGACCGGAGGACGTCCAGCAGCAGGAGAAAGCGCTCGGCGGCCCGGACAATGGGCGGGCCGCCCGCGCGCCCGGCCAGGCTAGATGGATGCCCCGCCAGGGCCAGGTTCTCCACCGTGGCCAGGTCCCCGGCGGCCGGCTTGTGGAAGGGACCCTCCGGGGCGGCGGATGCCCAGGCCTGGGGGTCGTCCTCCAGCAATTGCGTCACTTTGCCGAGGGCCACTGGGTGCGGGCGAGAGGGTGCGGGTGAGAATACGGGCGAGAGGGCGCTCGGGCCAGACTGGGCCAGGAAAGGACAGCGCGCACCGGTCAACTCGGACTCAAGCCAGTGGCTGCGGCAGGCCGCATCATCAAGGAGCGCCTGCAGGGAAAGCCGCGCGCCGGGGGCAAACTCATGCACCAGACGCAGGGCTCTGGAATCGGGCAGCCGGTGTCAGAGGATGGCTTGTGCGGGAGCCCGGGCTTCGAGACCGGGCCGGGGGCAAAGGAGGGCACGCACCGGTCGAAGTTCAGGGTTTCCTTGATTGTCCGGCCGAGGTAGGTGTCGGAGGCGTCGGAGCGCTGGGTGATGAAGGACCACCGCCAGTGCTCGGCCAGGACGCCCTCCAGCAGGGACAACATCTCATCCTGGACACGGGGGGGAGGGAGACGGCATATGCGATCAGTGGGTGCGGGCAGCAGGGGGAAATGGCAGCGAGAGGCGCGTGGGGCGGGAGGGGGGGGGGGGGGGGGGACACACAAGGACGTCGAGGCTGGCCGGGCCGGAGGGCGCTGCCACGCTGGCCTGGCGCGCGGCGCGCTCCTGAGCCTGCACCCGAAGGA